TATAGAAATAGGCAGCTAATTTCATCAAGATTGTAACATTGTAGTTTGCTAAAGACAGAAATACAATGTGATCGAGTTCTGACATCTAAGGGGGTCGCATCCATTATCTTCTAAAAGTTTAAGAAGAAAGAAGAGTAGTTGGACAAATAGCCGTTATAAATTATCAAACTTTTCGTCGCCAAATTGGCCGGCATGCGATAATTATTCATTGAGCCACCAGTACGCGTATTAATCGGCGTCACAAGCGCACCAAAGAAATTCATCGTGATCGAGGGGGTTGGCAACTGACATACGGTACGTACCCTTCTATCATAGGGGTGTTGCGTTAACTATAGCACTAACTAACTGCAAACAATCTCCCTGTAGTCCAATAAATAAACGCAATGCGATGTACCATGCAATCACGAACTCGATAAAAATAATCGAGGAGCAAAATGATACAACAAATGACAGGTATTAATATATTTATTGAAATTTAGCAATATAAATTATAGAAAAATTAATATATAAGTTATCGAAGAATGTTTAAATTTGCAATAGATTTTTCTTTCACTATTATTCGCTTTCCAAATGGAAATTTAATTAGACAGTTACTTCTTTTTCACATAAATAGCACTAATTTTTAGAAATAATTTCCATATTAATTTCTATAATCCTTTACTATACATTTACGGTTGAATTGGTTGTAATTTCATTGACGCATGGAGAATGCGCCATGTCCCGCTAAATTGATCATTTGGCACACTGCACGTCGATCAGGATCGGAAAATGCGCAAACTGTGACAGATGTCGGTAAACATGAGAAGGGCGACTTTATCGAGTGGACAATCACCATTCGCGCTCTTATATCGAATAAGGGAACGGGAGGGGGCCTTTATCATGATAATTTAATTTATTTGGGGTCCCATCGGCCGCTTCATGCCGGGCCACCCTTAAATGGTGCCGATCATCGCGGCGGTAAACACCACCTATTATCTGTACTTAAAGCGACCACTCTCCTTCTCTCTTTTTCTCTTTGTCATACCATTTCCCCTCATAGTTTACTTCCCGAAAAATTACACTTTACCGGTCGCATGAATATCCTTACGTTGCAACGAGGGATGGCGAGGTAGTAATTATTGTAGCAAATTTGCCTCATGTCGTTAAAAGATATAAAAATATAATGGAGATGAATTAATATTTTAATATTTTTCTATAATTTTAATTTAAACAAAAAATTAATTTTTATATTTTAAATTAATTTAAAATTTATTGTTGATATAAAATAAAATACAAGTTTTTCTATAACATATTATTAGTCTTTTGTAACGCACTGATTTTTAAAACACAATTTAAAATTCAAGGCAAGAGTCATTATTATATTTTGAGCGATTATTATGAAATACTTACGAAATTAATTATCCGCATGTAACTCTTCGTTCTGAGCCGAGATCGGATCTCATGCGACTTTTTTTTAGGATCGGCGAATCGCACGGTATCTCGGACTAACGAGTAACTACCCTCGTTAACTCCCGGGCGAAAGGTAC